GTGGCTGATGCGGCACAAACTTCCTTCCGCCTTTCCAGTCCCGCACAGCTCTCTCTCCGTAGCAGATGTGAGCGGCATTCCCCCATCTGCACTCTCCAGATGTGTTGGACTCCACTTTCCATCTTCCCCAGCCACTGGAGATTAACATATCTGGTCCAAGTTTTTCATTAGCCCATTCAGTCTCAGCCTGGCCTTCCCAGTTGGGAGGATATCCCCTTTTCCCCCTCTTTCAAAGAACCCAAAGCAGCTTTCTTGGTCTTTATCCTCAAAATAGCCCTGTGAGTTAAGCTGAGGGTCAGTAGCTGGCCCAAAGTCACCCAGAGGGCTTCGTGGCCTAATGAAGCAGGTCTCCTGAGTCCTAGGCATTTACTCTAACCACTATGCCGCGAAAAGGCATGCTGTTCATACATGGTCAACAAAATAAAATCTAGGACCTTGCCATGAAGTGAGAGAGCCAATTACACGCAACTCAGGTTCAGACAGACTTTTTCTCATGTGGGACCCCCAAGGTGGAACTCGTGGCCGACAAACCCAGAGGGCTCCGAGTCAGCGTCGCTGGCCTCATATGGGGTGCTGGGCCTGCTTCAGCTCATCGGCCTGCTTCAGCTGTGGAGGTGCTAGGGACCACGGTCTAGTGATGGGCAGGGTCAAAGGCAAAGGGACAGGGCCAGAAATACAAGTATCTTTTAGCTGCAGTTTGCTTCTGCCAGGAGCAGTGTCTTAGAGACATTCAGCCTTTCAGTCAGGATGACACTGACTCGGAATTTCAGAAACCACTAAAGGATGTGGGATTGGGGAGAAAGGGGAGGGGAAGGGAAGGGAAGGGAAATAGCAGGCTTGCAAAAGGACCTTGGGTGCATTTGTCTTAAGTTATTCATCACCCACTCACAGTATTTGGAGAGCAGAGATGTGACAGCTCGCCTGGTCAGACTTTTCCCCCTGAGGGTGAGACTCCTTTCCATTTAAAATGAAATATTTCTAAATTTGCTTCTCCACATGTAAATTAACATGTGCCGATTTCATGCGAACCTGTGCCCCAGTTTGGCCTTTCCTTGGCATGATGTGAATTTTCTGACAGCACCTGAAGGTTTCCCACTTTAGGGGACCAGTGTTTGAGCCTTTGGAGGGTGGGAGGGTTTGGAATGGAGGGGGACCGTTTGAAAAGGGGCAGTTGGAGCTGATGCAAGACAGGGAAAAGACAAGGCGAGAGGACGCGGTTGAACAAAGGGACAGTGAGAATTTCGGTTCAGTTCATTCTTGGTCAGTATTTAGTGATGTTTGTAAATAACTTCCATTTTCCACACCTTGGGATTTTAATTTAATTTTTAAAAACTGAATGAAAAACTAGCCTGATGATCAATAGGTATAACTTTCCTTGGTAAAATCATGTAATCATTGGCGCATAGCTCAGCCAGAGAGAAACTCATTTCATGCATCCTTGAAATGGAGCTGAACTTAACCAAGTCCCATTCCAGAGAGGGCCATTTGATTCTCAAGATAACAGCAGCACAAACAAGGGCAACTCACACCAACCCACCTCATCCTCCTTCCCAGCCTCTTCTTTCTGCTTTGGTATCCAAGTGGGAAAGATCACGCTATTCTAAGTTTTCACTTCTGTAACCTACTGAAAAGTGTTAACTGCCTAACCCTTTCATGATCAATATGAAAAGGGCCTCCAAGGACTGCTCAGGGTGACAGCTGGAGTGACTCGTTGGCCAGCAACTATTCTGAAGAACAAATCTTTTAAAAGAAAGCTTCCCCTGTTGTGCATTTTGGGCACACACGCAGCTGGGCATGGGACCATTTGGTCAGCAAGCCCCCAGTGATCCAGTTCACCCACGGGAGCTTTGGATGCTAAGCAGTGCAAGGTCTACTTCGAATGCCTGTAATGCTCGGTCACATTCATGGCGGCCCCACTTTTTCCCCTCATGCTTATTCACTTTATTCCAAGCCACCCCATATTCTAAGCTCTCTGGAAGTGAGCAACAATGAATAAATGCAATATGCAACATAAACAACAGTAGAAACATTGTAAAATCACTTTGTACATTTTAAAAGCAAGTGTTAATATCTTAACCCATACCAGTCATACTGCTGGGCTTACTAAAATAACTGACAATATTCCCATGCCTCTAAATTTCATGAAGATGGTGCCAGGCAGGCCTCAGTGTGAATCCTTCCAGAATTTGCGGGCTACCACAGAGAAGGCCTGTTTCTCCTTGTTGCCACCAACTAAGCCTTTCGTGGAAGTGGCATTCAGGCAAAGAGTGTAGTGTCCAGGTAGACTGCAGCTGGTCGAGGCATTTCGTCAGGCATTGTGGCCCCAAACCATAGAGGGATTTATAGGTTGCAAGCACTATCTTGAATTATGCCCAGAAATATAGAGGCAACCAGTGCAAGTGGACCACAATTGGTGTTACGTGATCAGATGGTCTGATCCCTGTTGTTCCTCTGGCTGCAACATTTTGCACAAGCCGCCATCCCAAACTGTCTTCAAGGACAGCCCCACAGAGCAGGCATTGCAATAGTCCAGTTTACGAGAGTACCAGAATACTGACGCCAGGCTGTCCTTGCCCAGAGGCGGGTGTAGCTGGGCTGGCTGAAGGCACACTGTACTACCAGGCCCCAGCCAGCACTGGCTCTTCCTGCAAGAATAACTGCACCTGTTGAATTTGACTGGTGCAGATGGGGGAGAATTTCATTTCTGTTCCTTTTTGAAATGTATTTAAATTGTCAGTTCTTTTCATGTTCAGGATGGGAACAGGTTGAGATTTTAAAATGTCATTTGCAGGAGAAAACAGCAGTAGCCATACCTGTGACATTGCATTGGTAATTAAGAGTGTTTTAGGGTGAGTGATATTTACATTTGGCCTGTGTTGAACATTATGTCCATTTATGGCATTTATCATCTGCCCAAGAACTGCCGGAAGGCAAACATGCATAGCTCCGCTTGTGCATTTCCACTCGGTGGTCAGCTGATTTTGCAGCTCACTAAAAATCTAAAGCTGACTAAAAATTCCTGTATTTTTGCACTGAGGGCAATAACAAGTGGGTAGGTGGGTTCCCAAACTTCCAAAGAAAGAGACATGTTGTACCCACCTTTTCTGAGTGATGACATAGAAACAGAGCGAGTCAGAAGAGTCCTCCCAGGCCATCTAGTCTGATCCCCGGCTCCAGCTGGCTCTGCTCATGCCTCCCTGCACCTCTAAAAAGCCAGGTAGTGTGGTGGGACAGTGCTGGATGGGGGCTTGGGAGATCCGGGTTCTTGTCCCCACTTTTGGCATGAAGCTCACTGGGTGACTGAGTAAGTCATGTACTCTAAGCCTGGCCTACATTGCAGGGCTGCTGTGAGGATAAAAGAGGACAGAGATTATGTAAGCTACTTTGGGTCCCTATCAAAAGGAAAAAAGGGTGGGGCATAAATGCAAGAATAAACTTTTAAAAACTACACCTCTCCTGCTTTCCCTGGTGTCCTCTGCATCTTGGCAGCACCTCGCCCCATGGGTTACTGTGGTGTGAACTTCTGTGGGAGGAAGCCGGTAGGTGGGTGCGATGCTGGATAGAGAAAGGACTTCTGTGTTGGGGATGCTGCCCCCTGTGGTGACTCTCTGCACTGCAGCCACTCTGTATAGAGAGAAGAACAACTGAGCACCGCCCTTTGTGGTGAGCTCCAGCACTGTGCCTCCCTGGGGAGGAGCCTTCTGGAGTGACTCCACCCACTCAGGCTGCTCTTTGGCTCCTGCTGGGCAGGAAGGAGTATATAAGGGGACTTCCTGGGGCAGAGAAAGTGGACAAGTAGCCAGGTCACCTGGGGGCTGCCATGTCGTGTGTTTGGGCCACTTGCTTTGTAGGCATCCTGCCCTTCTTCCCACAAGCACCCCAAGATGACTTACATAATCCTTCTTGCTTCCCTATTTCATTTTTCATTCTTCCAGGAGGGAAAAAAGAGGGCTGTAAATGTGGCTCCGTAGGGAAGGGGTCTGTCCTGAAGAAACTGGGTGGGGGGGAATGGGCTGCAAAGCAGTGTACTGGCCTGGGATGCCCGCCATCCAGTGGCTGAGCATGTTACTGCATGTTTCAACCTGTGGAAGCTTGTAGGGTATAATGCAATCCAAAAGCAGAACAGCTGCCCCCCATGGCCCCATTAGCACACCTGCCAGGCTTTTCATGGACCTGGCAGTACGGCGTGGCTGGACAGAGATGCACACGCATCCATTACCGTGGTGGTTATTTTGGGTGCAAAGGCTTGTTGCCAGAGCTTCTAGGATCACCTCTGTTCTTGCAAATAAAGAGTTAATTTGATGGGAACCGTGGTCAGACTGTGGGAGTTTGTGCCACCACCGCGACTTCATGCAGCTCTGTGGGGACCCCTTGTCCTCCTCTGTGCCGCCATTCAGCTTCGCCTCGGTCTGGATGGCCTTCATGGCTGGACTGGCGCCCTGATCGAGAACGGCCTCAACAGGAGGCCTATCCGGCTGTGGGTGTTCATCGTCAAATTCTGCGGGCATCAGTGGGCTTTTATATTGGCCACTGCCTTGTTAAACAAGCCACTTATGTACATACTAGGGGAGACAGAGAGATTTCAGAGTACATAAGGCATCATCCTGAGGATTTTGTAAAGCAAGAAAAGAAAACCATGGCAGAAGTTCTGGAGGACTTCTGTCTAGTTCGCTGAAGACTTTGTGAGTGGCTACCGTCTCGCTCAATGATGTGTGCGTATACGTCCTGTCCCAGCGCGAGCCTCTTGCACGGGACTTGCATATAATGTACATCAGCAGTTGGGACGGAATCCTGATTTAAACATGTAGACTGCGATCTTACCATTAAAAGCTATGACTGAGTAGCAAAAAAAAAAAAAAAGAGTTAATTTGATGGAGGAGGGGCAGATAGGAAAACATAGGCTACGTGGTCCCTGCTCGTCTTGTCACGGAATTGCTGCTAGTGGGAATCTGGCCATGAGTATCTGTTCTCAGATTGACTGGGCTCTTCCTTGCGTGCAGGTTCCATTGTTTCCCTGACACTCTACCTGATGCTTGGATATGGCACATCCCTGGTTTGCGACCTCATCAGCTTCGTCTATCCAGCATATGCCTCGTAAGTAGCCCTCTGGGGACTGAGATTTCCTGCTTTGACCTCTGTCTGAACCTGCCATCTGCAACTTGGGCTCTCCAGATTGTCTGGACAGCAACTCCTTCACCAGCCATGACCACACTTGCTGGGGATGATGGGAATTGTCAGCCAACCCGTCTGGCTTGGGGTGAGCTCCCTAAGACTGTCCATGTTGGCAGTACCGAGAGGAAAAGGGTAAGAAGAGCAGATTTATTATGGGTTTAGTGATGGGCTGATGGGATGAATTTCTATGCAGCCTCCCTGGCACCAACCAAAGCAGCTTACAAAAAGTTCAGAATAATTGGATTTTTTTAAATTGGAAAAATTCCATAACCGCACTTTTTAAAAGCCAGGTTAAAAGGATGTGTCTTGACTTCCTTCCTGGTTGCAAAGGGAAGGCCGTCCTATTTCAAGCAGGGTTGTGCCAGTCTGATAAGGAGTTCATGCCACTGGTGGAGGGAGGGGTCTTTTGCATGTGTGGGTGGTTGGGGAAGATTGTGATGCACGGCTCATAGGCCCAGCCATGAGTTATAGACACGCCTCGTTATGGTTCCCCCCAGCGTCACCCCCCGAGGAGAGTCCAAGCTGTCCTGTTGAACCGTAGCTGTAATCAATGCTGGCCTGGCCGCTCTGCCTCCCAAGGGGGGGTTCTTTGCCAGTCAAAGGGGTCCCCTTTGCCCATTTCAGGCCAAGCCAGCCTGACATAATTTGCACGACTACCAGGTTCAGTGCTGCTGGGTGGGAAGATGCATTTTCTTCTCTGAGGCAAGGACTGAGGTTAAGCAGAGAGGGGCAATCGGTGATCTGGCTGATTTGTGCCCTGCTCTTCCCTCCGTTGCCCCCTCCAGCATGAAGGCCATCGAGAGCCCCAGCAAAGAGGATGACACCCTCTGGTTGACCTACTGGGTGGTCTACGGCATCTTCAGCGTTGCCGAGTTCTTCTCCGACACCTTCCTCTACTGGTTCCCCTTCTACTACATCAGCAAGGTAAAACAGAACAAAACAAAATCAGAGGAGGTAGTTGACAAAAATATTTTGCTGTTTTGCTCATGCCTGGCCCCCATTCATTGGCTTATACCAGGGCCAGGTACACAGTGAGTCTTGACTCATGGATGCGCTTGCTCTCTTCCATTATGATCACTAGGCTGAAAGCAGCAGAATGAAATTCAGTAGGAACAAGGGCCAGGTCCTCCACCTCAGAGAGCAGAAACCACATTCGTCACTAGATGAAGGGGAATGCTTGGCTCAATAGTGCTGCAGATAAGAAAGACTTTGGAGCTGTTGTGAACAACATGCTACTCGTAAATGTGAGCCAATGATGCGATGCAGCCACCAAAGGGGCAAATGCCCTTTTTAAATGCATTAACAGCACCGCCAAGTCATGAGAACTGCTGGTTCCCCTTTACTCAGCACTGGTTAGGCTTCATCTACAGTCCTGCATCCAGTTCTGGGCACCAAAGCTGAAGAAAGATACAGAAAATTGGAGAGGGTCCAGAGGAGGGCAACAGGGATGATGCCGCATCTGGAAACAAGCCCTATGGGGAGAGATTGAGAGAAGTGGGCAAGTCCAGCTTTAAGAGGAGAAGACTGAGGGGAGATGTGGTGACAAGGAGCTCAAAGGCTGACACAAGGAGGAAGGGCAACCGCTCTTCTTGATTGTCCGACAGAGTAGGACAGAAGCAGTGAACTCAAGTTGCAGCAAACCAGGTCGGAGCTAGGTATCAGGAAGGTTTTCCTGACTCTTAGAGCATTGCAGCACTGGAACCGAGACCCAGGGAGGTGGCGGGCTCTCCCACTGGAGGCATTCAGGATGCAGCTGGACAGGCCTCTGGGAGGGATGGTTGCACTGGCGCCTGCCCTGGGCAGGGTCTTGGACCCGCTGGCCCCTTCCAGCTCTGTTCTAGAATCCTATGCGAACTGTGACTGTTGCCCCTTTTAGATAGACCACATCACTGTTAAGTTCGTTTCTTCACTTGCCTCGCAAGAGAGGGCCTGCCTGCTTGGAGTGCTTTTCCATGGGAATATGGACACTTTGGGAGGAAGGGTTCACTGAAGCCCCCAGTTAGATTCTCCAGAGAAACCGCAGCCGTTTAGACTGTTGCAGTGAAAACAACGCCAGTTTTACAGCCCTTTAGGATGAACAGATGTATTTTCTCTGGCATAGATTTCCCTGGTGTGGGGTGGGGGGGGTGTTACCTGGATGGCTCATCTCCTGGCTTCCACACTCCCCCCACAAACCACCTCAACAGCCCCTTTTACCTGTCTCTGAAGCTTCTTTTCTGACCTGTGTGGTTCTTTACACCAGCTGTGAGGGGGAAATGGGGGTTCAGAGCACTGATCCCCATCTCTGAGGCTGCAGAGCTGTCTGTGATATTGGATCTGGGAATCTGAAGTATCCTGCAGCCCCACACACTGTTCAAGGGGCTACAGGATTGCTTCCTGACAGCACGGAGAGACATATTGTTAATAATAAATGCTAAATTGCACCAGGGAGGGAGCTGAATGGAGATTCAGGCTCTTGCTGCCACATCAGGGTGGGCGATATCCAGGAGACTGGTGGGGAATCACTTAGACCCCAGGCCATGCTCACCACTCCAAGAGGGGTAAGATAATCCAAATAAAACCAAAATGTGCTGTCATCCTGTTGTTGACGGGGCTGCCTGGGCCTAGTGGTGCTTGTTCGTTTGGAAACAAGCTAGTTTCGCTCCTTCACCCCTTCCTGAGAAGTATATTAAGTGGACCCACCATATTTCAGAGGGGCTGGAGGCCACACTGGGGTTTGGATCCTGGGGTCACATCTCCCCCACAACACATGTGTCGGGAGATCGGCTAGTGTGAGTTTGGCACAGCACCTGGTGAAGAGTCCAGCGTCTGCAAAAGCTCATACCAAGGGAAGGAAGTGCGGCACTTGCTGAAGCGCTAAAAGCTTTCTTGCTGTTTCTAGTGTGTATTATATTATCTCTTGCACATTAATAACAGAATGAAATAGACCTTTAAGAAGTAGGGTGGGAGGGTGGCTTATCCGCAGGATGGATACTCAGAGTGAAGCAGACCGATGGCGCTTAGATGCAGCTGCCGTATAACCGTATTAATTTCTGGATTATGTTTGCATCCTGCCCTTTTTTCTCGCAAGGAAATAAAGGCAGCTTGCATAACACTCCTTTCCATTCCACTGTATGCTCACAACAGCCCTGTGAGGTAGGCCTGGCTGAGAGTCCAGGGCTGGCCCTAGTCTCTTGGCTAGCTTCATGGCTGCGTGCATACGAGAACCTGGGCCTCCCAAGCCCCAGGCCAGCCCTCCATCACCAGGCCCTGCTGACTCCGTGGGCGACAGCCTGCCCTGAATGCCAGCTGGAGCCATCCCACTGGAGTGTCTACAGTCAGGCCGGTTCATACGGGAGGGGGTCGAGGCGCAGGACTTCAAGCGTCCGCCGTGGCACTGACCTCTCCGGAACTGCCTCCCCCGCCCAGTGCGTCTTCCTGCTGTGGTGCATGACTCCCTTCCCGTGGAATGGCTCCCGTGTGCTCTACCGCAGCCTCATCCGCCCCTGGTTCCTCAAGCACCACCAGACCGTGGACGGCGTCCTCAACGACCTGAGTGCCCGGGCTGCTGGCGCTGCCTCCATGGCATCCCAGGATGGTAGGCTGGGGCAGGCGGGTGGGCGGGGTGTGGGGTTCTGGCCACACACTTGGCCACAACGTTCGGGGAAGTTCTGGGGGTGTGAACTGGGGCGTGGCCTGGGGCGGGAAGGGGGGCAAACAGGTCAGCCTGGAACCAGACAGGTACTTTTGCCTGAAAACGGGCGCTTTCTCCCTTCTCCCATCCTTGTGCCACACAGGAGAGTTCTGTGGGGAATCCACCCGGGGCAGGAATCCCCAAGCTCGGCTCCCTGGACTCTAGTCTGTTTGCAGCAGTCCTGAGTCCAACCCCCTGGAGCCCCATGTGCCTGCAAGCAGCGCCCCTCCCCACCCCGTCCTCACCGCCTGATGCGGAAGAAGATGGCTTGTCATGTGAGCCTTGCAGGCTTCCTCTTGGTTCAGCTCACTTTGTGAGGCAGGAGTCCAAGCATGGGAGGGCGTCGGTGAACATGAGAGGGACAAATTCCTCTGGGTTCCTCCCAGTCCCGCTACAAACACCCTGGACGCCTGGTTCTTTTGCTTCTTGGCACCCTCTTAGTATTCCTTCTGCAGGGTTCTTTTTTTCCTTCCATGGCTCTTATTTATTTATTTAGCAATTTTAAATGCTGTCCCAATACTAAAAGCCTCTGGACAGGGTACCAAAAACTCTGCGTGCAGCTCCTTCTTGTCCACTGTGCAAGGAATTCTCTAGTAACGTAACAAGTGCTGCCATCACGTATTCAAGCAGCCACAAGCTAAAACCAAGGCAAATGGGTGTTTCTAGCCAGGGCTTACTCAGAGGAGGAAAGGAGAAGGCTGAGATCCAGTCTCTGCAAGCTGGGCATGGTGGATCGTGCCTGGCAAGATCTGGAGCTCAGGGAAAACAACACACAGGTGGGCAGGGGCGAGTTTGCATGGCACGGGTGCGGGCGCCTCCGTTTGTGCTTTGGCAGGATGCCCCAATTTTCAAAAGGGCAGTCTGGACTGGGGGAAGAGGCATGCGATTTCAGAAGAAAACTTTCAGGCAGAGGTGCACGGGGAGGTGGCAGGAGGCAGGAAATGTGGAGGGATCCATTGTGGGGTGCCGCGGAGGCTGCCTTGGCCGCACTCAGGCCCCCTGTGCTTCAGCGAGGGTCCCTCCAGGGCAGTTCTGGGGCTCCTGCCTTCCTGGGCCGCCCCAGCCCCATTCTTTGTGGGGAACAGCAAGGCAGGCTCTGCTTTATCCCTGCAGTCTCAACAGTGGCATTATTTAAGGTACTTTAACAACTGCAGAGCTGCAATAATAATGAATAATGCTGTCAGAGTGTGGTTATTCGCAGCTGGGTCCCTGAAGGCATTTTGCATTTTGGGGTTCAGCCCCACACCCCCACTTTTGTTTAGGTTCTCGGGAACATTACTTTTCTTTCAACCTCACCAGTGTGAACTTCTGGGAAGCAGGTATTTTGTGACTGGGCTGACCCGCCCCCATGACGGGGGGGGCGGGCCATTTTGTGAAGGAGCTTGCGGCTTTCTCTCCAAATTCCACATGTGTCCACCAGCCTGGAGCGGATGGGCGTCCTGGGCCCCTCCAGGCTTTCAGACCAAGGAGACCTTCCCCAGCTCCACGGGAAGGTGCTCACCCACCTTCTGCATGCAAGGCGGGTGTGGTGCCGTTTGGCCGCCAGCAGCCTCCCAGACAGGTGCAAAGGTGGGCTATTATTGCCGTCTCTGTTGAACAACGGAAAACCTCCATGTGGTGGCTCTTGGGAGGGTGCGAATGCGCCTGTCCCAGCTCAGAGCAAGCTTTCTTGTAACCATATGTCCTCCTCTTGCTTTTGCAGTGTCCCAGGAAGTCACCAAATGAGCACTTTTCATCGAGAACTGAGTGGCCCCTGTGTTAACTGCTGAGGAAAAAGAGAACTTCCATTGTGGATTATTATTTTTCCTGCCACTCTTGGAGCCTTTGGAAATCTCTTCCTCGTGCACGCGCTCTCTCTCTCTCTCTTCCCCCCACCCCCTCCCTGTTTTTACCTCCCCACGGCACACTGCGCACCAGTGATTTGGTTGCCCATACCTGAAGATGGCCTTGTGCTGCTTGGGAGCTGCAGCAGGGGGCTCTCTCGCTGCATCGCACTCTGTGCAGAACCTTGCCTGCCTGCTTGCCTGCCATCAGCTGGGGCAGCAGCCCCCAAGCCAGCTTCTCTCCCAGGCAGTGAAGTCGTGGTGGAGGCCGTGATCTGCGCTACTTCCAGCTAAGGGCACGGGGGGTGGGGGGCAGGGAACCTGCAGGGCTGAGCAAAACCCGGCAAATACTGGGATGGCAGGGAGGCTCGGCTTGGCTTGGCTTTGTTTGCAGAGCAGAGCCTTGCAAGGAAAGGGGAAATGTCCCAAGGGGTGCGTTTGGTCCGCCTCAGGTGAGAGGATCTTTTCACACCCACGTAGTTTGAGGCGACCCACACGGTTCGTGTGCGGGCTGTGTAAAGCTTGAGTGCTTTTCCCCCACAAGGAAATGGGGTCGCAAGAAGATGTTTTCCATTTGTCTGTTGTGACTGGACCTTCTTTTCCTCCTTGAGAAAATTCAGCTTCTTGAAGTCAGGGTAACCATCCTCCCCTGGGAGTGGAGTGAGGGAAATTTCATCAAATGTCATGGAACCGTCTCTTCCTCAAGTATGAACTGAAACTTTATAAAGTTGAAGAATTAAAAATCTTACATATTTACACACACACACACACACACACACAGGGGGCAAATGGATTCCTTCCCCAGTGCCTTCTAGGCATTCTGAACTACAACTCCAATCAACCCCAGCCAGCAGGGCTAAGGGTTGGGATGCTGGGGATTGTAGTCCCCCATTCCTGTTTGTCTTACAGCCTCCTCCATGGGATGCTGAAGTGACAAAATTGTCCCCTCCCCTTGTTTGCCATTGGAGGCAAGCATTGCTCGTGGCACAGGGTTTGGTGTTGCTCACAGTGCAGCCAGGGACTGGCGGAGAGCCACTTCCTCTGCTCCAGATCTGAGCTTGGAAGGTGGCTGCCACTCCCTGGCTGCAGCTCGGCCTTTTTCAAACTTGCCCTTCAGATGTTTCGGCCCCCAACACTCACCAAGCTTCAGCTGGAATGGCCAGTGGAGAAGGATTCTGGGCATGGAAGTCCCAAACACCTGGGTTGCTAATGAACCAGAGAGAGGGGGGTGCTCGTAAATTGTTCCCCATCAGCCCCCGCTCAACTGCAGAGAAAGAGACCTTCAGGAAAGCAACCTGAGGTGGGTTCAGCAGGGTTTCCCCACCTTGCAGGGTGTGTGTGCAGGGAGGGGGGTTGTTTTGGAGTGCTGAATCTGGAAGCTTGCGGGTTGCTGCTGGTGGTGACCCCGTTGGCCCAGCACTGTCCCAGTCCTCTCCGGCATCTGAACACAGCTTGCATATCTTCCCAGGCGTGCCAGAGCAGAATGGCCTTGTAAAGGCCTATGAAGAACTACCTGGGGTTAGTCTCGGAGGCGCTTTTAATTGCTGTATCAACAGGGCCCGCCCGGTGGACTTGACGGCCTGCTTGGGCCATCCCGAGTGGGGGTGCTCCCTTTGGTGAAGGAAGAGGTGGTGGGAATTGCATGCTCTGGAAGTGCCCCATTTCTGCACTTCTGTCCCAGCCCATTTGAAAAAACGGTGTGAAGAAAGCAAACTGCTTCATAATACCACAAAACAGTCCACTGAGCTGGGAGGGGGTCAAATCCAGTATGTGGGTTCTCTTATTTAAAACAAATACAAACTTTACTGAGACTTATTTTAAATTAGCTGGGATTATGCAGGATTAAATAAAGAGCCTGTTCTTAAAGAAATGGAATAAAAGGTGTTGGGCAGGGGGATAATTCTGCTGGTGTTGGTGATAGACAGGTGGCTGAGCCAGCCAGGGGAGCATGCAAGGAAGGAGGAGGATGGAGGGAAGAGGAAAAGTGAAGTCCTCTTTTCCAGCTTCCGCCCACATCTCTGCACTGGGGTAGTTGTCCACCTGTCCTGGGGAGCATCTTCAGCTGCCGGAGTGGCCAGTCACAGCTAAAGCCTTCCTGGCCCTTGTATCTCTAGCATTGCCCCAGCAGGACTGCCCAGACCGAACCTCGGTTGTCCCAAGTTTTCCTTGGGAGAGTGGTTGACTCTGTGCTATCATCGCCTTGGCTTGCAACATGACTGCATCCTGCCTTCTTGTCTGGCAAATGCAAGTAACACAGGCAGAGGCTGTGGTGACCCGGTGGAGTCCGATTCCCATTGGCTTCCTCTTCATAGCTGCCCAGCCTCACTGGACAAGTCAGCAGCCTGAGCAAGGCAGTGGAGAAGTGGCTTCAAAAGGAGCCAGACTTGGATTCGGCCAGCCCTGCCTTTCCTCCCGCTGGCTGTACCTGGAGATCAGCTAGGGCTGGGATCGTTCGCTGAGCATGGCTGTCTGGGGAAGCTGGAACAAGCACTTGGAGAGCAAGCAGTTTGGGAAAGGCTAACAGACTGTACGTACCCCTGAGCACTGGCTCTTCTGTTCCAGGTAAGGCAAGGTTCTAGACCTTATGGTTCTGAATCTGGGTCTGATTTAAATGAGGTGGTAGAAGGCAGATTTATGCCAGGTCAGGCCCACTGACCCATCTAAGCCCCGTATTCCTTAACTGGCACAGTCCCGGGCAGAGAAGTGATCTTGCCCATGGCTTGTACTTGCCTGTCCGAACCGGTGCTTGAACCCAGAACGATCAGCAGGGACCTCAAGTGGTTTGGAAAGGGCCCCACCCCCTGCGCTATCTTTCGGCAGATTTAGGGTAGGGGCCGTGCGTGCAGAGCCAGTGCGCTTGGGCAAGGAAGGCGGACCGAGCTTGCTCGAGGACTTGTCTGGGTAGCCCGGCAAGGGCCCAGCAGACCGGGGGATCTGCTGCAGGATGCAGCTTCCAGCCGACACGGAGCATAGAGAAGACGGCGCGAGGCGCGGCCAAAACCGATCAGAGCGTGCGCGCTTGCGCCCCGGGGTCGTCTCCCGCAGGGGCGGGTAAATCGGAGAACCGTCAAGGCCAGCAGCCGGAGGGAGGCGATTCCCCGCGGCCGCGTTCCTCGGGGCTTCCCTTGCGCCCTCCGTTCCAGCGCAGCGCAGAGCCGGGCGCTCGCCCCGCGCGTTTCCCCGAGACAGACCGAGGGCGCGTGGGAGTCTTCCGCCTTTTTTGCTGCCAAAACACGCCTCGGGTTCTTGAAGGAAGCAGTGTGAGACAGGTGTGGAAAGCTACGATCCATCCAGTGGCCAAGGGTCGGACACGGCCGTTGCTCAAGAGGCCGCGCTCCTTGGCCAGCCAAGCGTACCTCCACTTCCCGAGCCGTGTTGGACAAGAGGCGTGAGCCAGGACAGGACAGAATTGGGATCTGACTGCGGCTTGAGAGACCCGCGTTCGAATTGCCGCCGCTCGGCCAGGGCCGCAGCATGTTGAACCCATCCGAGTCCCACAGCCTAACCAACCTCGCAGGGTTGTCGTGAAGGTCAAATGAATGTGTGCATTACCTTCTGTTCCCTGAAAGAGGGGCAGCTGGGAAGGACTTAAATGCAAGCTATTTGCACTGCCCTGGGGCCAGCCCTAGCCTACCCCAAAGGGCTGTTGTGAGGAAAAAGGGGAGAGGAGGAGGGCCCTGGGGCTGTCGGATTTAGATGTGAGGGCAGTGTGACAGTCTCGGAGCTGGTCTGGGTGCTCCTTCCTCAGCCTGCCACTGCCAGCTCCAGGTTTTGGAGCGTCCATGGTCAACCCCCCCCCCACCCCCGCACAGCAGCTCCCTTCTCACTGCCCAAGGGCGGAATTCAAGCGTGTGTGTTGCGAGGGGGGGGGGGCGGGGGCTGTTGCACCTTTTGGCCCCGAATCCCACCAAACTGGAGCTTAAAGCCCTTCCTGCCGCTCGCAAGTGTTTGGTGAGGATTTCGGAATGGGGGTGAGTGAGAAAGTATGCAAACTGCAAAACCCCCAAGTGATTGGCAGTGGGGTGGGAAGCGGGGAGTGGAGGGGAATGGGGCATGGGTGTCTGGTTTAGCCCATGTCTCCAAGGCTCATGAAGCGCGGTCCCCAACTTTTCCGGATACAGCTATCAAGAGGCAGGCCCTCGGTCCCTGACCAGGTAAGGCAAGGATCCCCCAACCTCTTTGGACCACTTGGGAACCACCACAAAACGCCCAGTCGAGAGGTCCTGCTTTGTCGCGCTGATGTCTCCTCTTCAACAAAAGCGCCCATTTCGAGTCTATTGGATGCCAGAAGGTCTGGATTGCCTAGACTGGCTCGCTGGGGCAGCACAATGCACCTTTTAAACTGATGCCTTGGCCGTGTGCATGGTGGTTTCATTTGGTTGTGCAGCCCATGATATTGCCAGATGTGCCCACTCTTTTAATTTATCTACCTAATCAACCACTTTGTCACCGTAAATGGATTTTCCATCTTCCTTTCACAGTGGGAAATCCGTGCTTAAAATATTACAAAGATAAATGCTCGTGTCCTGTAGGCATGGCAAGGAGCATTCTAAAGGCTGAATAGGGCAATGCAGCAAACTTCCCCAGTGTCCAAAGGCTGGGACGGTTTCATGAAGCCACGCCCGGCTTTTACCTCTTCAGCTTGATCGGAAGAACTTGAGAAATAATGGCCTGGAAGCTTCTTTCTTCAAATATGTCCCTTAAATAAGGGCTGCTTTCAGCTCCACGCTCCTCTTTCTACCTGTGTTCTCGGAGAGGAGAGAACACAGACTCCAGCCATTGGGGGTGGGGGGCTCTCCACACCAAGCGTGGCAGACGCCCAGCGACACTGACCCTTGGCAAGGAGAGCTGCGATGTGAACAGCCTGGCTTTGGTGCTACTGTGGTTGCAGGAAACTAACTTTCGGTTGGGCGTGATACTAATTTTGTCCCAGCGGCCAAGAAGAGGGCAGATGCTACACCCTCCCACCAAGTGCCACAACCTTCAAGCAACCCTGTTTTTAGAGGGGATGTGCAACAGCTTCTTTCAAAGAATGAGAGTCTGCTCTTAGAACGGGGGAACATCTGGGTTTTCCCAAAAACTTCCATTTGTGGCAGTTGGTGTTTCCCATTCTACTGCTCCCCAAACTGAATAGTATTCCAGACTTCACTGCTCTGCCCAACCCATGTTTCCCCGGCAGAACATTTTGAGATCACTTTAACACCCTGGAACTGGGCTGAAGTCTTCCATTTCTGGAAAGGGATCCCCCCTGCAAAAGAAACTTCTGTTTTCAAGCCCCATTTTTTGTGTAAAAGAAGCAGAAAATTTTTATTAAGTATCATTAAGTTTCATTAAGTATCAGCAACTGCCCTGTTTACAATCCCAAAAGCACTTTTAAAGCAAAAAAAAAAAAAAAAAGCATTTTAAGCAAACATGTTTTTTCACATTTTCCCAAGCATGGTGATTGCACCTGAAAACCTAACAGTTCAGAAAAGGTGGGTTTTAAGAACACAGAGTCTGAAGAAGCATAAGCACGTTAATGTGTTAGTGAATGGCAGCACTGCAAATTTGGGTGTGTGCTATTTTAAAAGTGTGCACATCAAAATATACACTTCACCCAATGGGGCAGAGGAGAGGTGTGCACATTCGGGAACAGGAGCGAGCAGAATTGAACTTCAAGGTTTAACCTGGGCACCTCGGCCTGACTTTACCACGGTGAGGGTCCCCCAGAATGGAATCTGGGCATCGCTTGGGACTCAGCCCCATTTTTAAAAAAGCGACTCTTGCGGCTTCAGCCATGCTCTCCCCTTGCCCACCCCCTCGCCTCCCCTTGCCCCCCACCATCACAGCAGGCAGCTGTGAAGGCTTTCTGCCTCCCTCCAGATGACAGGTTGGGTGGCGAACCTTCACAGGCAGGCATCCATTCCAGGACAGCAATCCCAGCTACTGGGACAGGGGGTCCGCGGGGGGGGGGTTGTTGGGGGGCAACCATGCGCGCAAAATGAAATTGGGTCTGACGCACGCCTGTGAAGCTGGGGCAAAGCAGCCATGGAAGGAAAGCTTCTGACAATGGGAAACTGTTCGGTGTGCCTCAAGGTGCAGTCCAGACACAGAAGGGGCAGGGGCGGCCCTTAGTGGCAGACAATCCCTCACCCTCAAAGGAACGCAGGTCCATACCGGTCGCTGTTAAATTTGGAGAAAAATAAACTGGCACGTGGGTGTCCCTGTATCACATCTGGGTCCTCACCGGTTCTGATTACCGGTTCTGCTTCACCCTCCCCGCAGCCCGTGGAAAGGAAAGGAAAGGCTCACGGGGACTCCCGCAGCCCTAGCGTTGCCAGTCCGCGCCTTCCCCGAAGATCCAGCCCTCTGCGCTCTTCTCCCCGCGCGCAGCCCAGCTCCGCGGATGATAAGCGGCCGCCGAGCCGGCAGGTGGGACCCGTTTCGCGGCGAGGGATCCCCATGTCTTCATTTCTTAAGCGCACAAGATGTTGGTCCCTCCTTCGTTCCACGTTCGCCCGGGAAAGGCTCCTGTCCCCGGGCTGGACAGGTTTTCCCTCCGCACTAACAAGCGCTGGCACACAGCTCCCGCCACCCCACCTGGCTACGTTGGCCGAGGATCCTGTGGGTTGGAGTGCATGCCACCTGGGGAGGAAGACTGATGTGCTCAGAGCAGCAGAAATCCCCAGAACCTTTCCCAGCCCTGCTAATGAGGCATCCTTGTGCCCTGGAACTTAGAGAAACTTTTAAAGGGTTCCCATTTTACCTGGATGTGGTTCATTTTTTAACCCCTGGACAGATTCTGGGTGTGTTTTATCAGGAGACCCAGGACTGTTTTCTAACAGGACCTGGGTGAAAAACAGAAAAGCCTGACAAAATAAGATAGTCTCAGAGAAACTAAATCTTTTGGCCTCTTTCCTTCTTTCTTTCTTTCTTTCTTTCTTTCTTTCTTTCTTTCTTTCTTTCTTTCCTGTCGGTTCAACTCTGCCATCTATCTAGAAATCATACCACAGAGTAATTTGAGGACAAAAGAACAGAGGAGAGACGCAGCTACCCAAGAAAGAGGCAAGCAACTGAAACGCACACAAAAATGTATCAACGGAATACAAAAGTCCCTGGCATCCTAGGGGCTGTCAATTTGGTCCATTCAATTATTTGCATTTTTATTCCCCTGCAAGAAACTGGTGGGGCTGGTGTCAGACCCGTTCTCCATGAGGACCAGTGACTTGGCTTCATGAGGACCAGTGACTTGGAATGATGCCTAAATGATGCCAACCATGCCCTGGTCCCATTTTGCAGTGTCACCATCACAACCTAAATTCCTTCCATTTCTTTACTTTGAAATGGAAGAGAACTTTTCAGAGGGTGCAGAAGAGCCTTTGGCTTAATTTTGCACATGTTTGTCCCCCCCACCCCATGCAAGGAAGGACTTGCTATGCAGCATGGGTTTCCTCTAATCCCATGCATGGCACACCCCATCCTTCAGAGTGAAAGAGGCCATCTCTGAGAAAAGAGATCAACCCCGCACCTTTTTCTGAAACTATCCCCTTGTGAATGGCAAAGCACCCGCAAACCACTCATGGAGACCCACCTTCTAGCCAGGACCTCAATTAACATGGGAATGGGGTTTGTGGTGTGCCATGGGCCACGTTGGCATCACCACAGCTGGGGTGAGAGAAGCTAAGAGGCATCTGTGAGGCTCATCTGGTGCACCTGCCCTCCCCTACCTGCCTCCCTGCTGGCATCCAGGATGGTGTGGCGACCCAGTATGCACTCAGATGGGCTGCCAGGTCTTGTCAATGGTCTGGATGTGCTCCTTGGCCTTCATCCGCAGAGAGGCAATGCTTGAGCTGCGCTGGTCGATCTCCTCCAGGGGGTACTTGTCCACAAACGTGGCACACTGGTACGCTGGGGGGGGGCATCGGCTGCATGCCCTGGGGCAGGGCAGGTGGGCTGTTGAGGAAGGAGTGCCCGGCGTAGGCGGGCTGGAGGGCTTGCGTGGGGCCCATGAACCCCGGGATGCTGTGCACCGTGGTGGCGCTGGAGATGGGCGATGCAAGCCATGGGTCCAAGGGGAGCGAGTTGCCGATCGGCCCGAGGTTGGCTGCGATGGGCGGCCGGTTGAAGGACAGCATGGGCGTGTCATGGAGCTTCATGGCGTTGGCTTCCAGCTTCTCCTGCCGGCGCCACTTGGCTCGCCTGTTCTGGAACCAGACCTGCAAAGGGAGAAGCGAAATGGCATCTAGGCGAGCTGCTCATTCTAAGCCTCCCTGACCCACCCGCCAGACTGTAACTGCTTGTTGAAGCATGTTGGCACAATGGGCACCCTGTGACACCTGGAAGGCTTGCCAGTGGCAATGCTACTCTATTCCTGCGACCTGGCAGGCTGGGATTCTGCATGCAGGGTGGTTGGCTTGTTTGTTAAATCCCAGCTTCCCCAGTGTGGTGCTCCCACCTTGGGAAGCACTGGGCAACATCCCAACCTGCATGGCCAGGGGTGAAGAGCATCACAGCCTGAGGCACCTGGGGGGCACCAGGTTGGAAAAGGACGTCGCTGATTGTGTTTCTCAGGCCAGAGGAGAAGCATTTCATGACTGGATAGCTCCCCCATGAAATTAAAACCAAACCAATTAGCTTGCATGTAGAAATCTAGCACCTCAGGCAACTGGAACTGACTAGCGACAGTTCTTTGCCTGGGCCTAGGTGGATCAGTTCTGGGTCCTGAAAGGCCAGAGCAGCTCCCCACTTTCACTTACCTGAACTCTGACCTCTGGCAGGTTCACTTTCATGGCCAGCTCCTCACGGCTGTAGACATCTGGGTAGTGGGACTTCTCAAAGGCTCTCTCCAGCTCGTGCAACTGGTAGGTGGTGAATGTGGTGCGATTGCGGCGGTGCTTCTTCTTGGGCTGCTCCTCGTCCAGGTTTTCCGGTGTGGGGCCCTCGCTGTCTTCCCCCTTCTGCAGCTCGCTGAGCTCCCCCTCGCATTTGCTGAGGAACATGCCAGGGGCTGCAAGAGGAAACATCCAGAGACTGCTGGACTCTGCCTGTTCCGAACGAGCTGAACAGCTTTGGAGGGTGGCAAACATGGGGGTTGGGAAAAGGGGGAGGCTGGAAGGCGGTAAGGGGTTGGGGGCTGCTTGTAGCACACTTGCTTCACGGTCTTCCCAAAGGTGCCAGTGTGAGCTGGTCATCCCTTCTGCAGCACTTCTTGTGAGGGTTTTTATTCCGTACAGGAGATCTAAGCATTCAACAGCCTCTGAGCATGCACAAGGAGAAGAGCTAACTCCCTTCCGCGCCCTTTTGTCCAAAATACTTCTTTAGATACCTCAGGGGCTGGTCTTTGGAAGGTGGGGCACCATGGAAAGGAGCCCCTAATTGGCTCAGCCCGAGCTGTGACGCCAAGCCCTGGGTCCACACCTTCAGGAGGATCATGTTCTCCCTGTGAGAACCCTCCCACCCCCACACCCCGTCTCATTCCCACAGGCGGGAGGGAGACCAGGTCCCATGGCGTCCTTGACCGACTTTCATCCAGAGCAGGTGCAGCCCCGACAGCAGCCATCCTGCTATCGGAGTGTGGGCTCCAGCCTTGTCTGACTCAGCCTTCCCCGAGGCATCCTCCCAACCTGAGCCATCCGTGCCACCGCCTGGGAATCTTGACAGGACCCTGAGGAAGGGGGGTGGGCGGGCAGGTGGGTCTAAGGGGTGGAAGCCTCTTCAAGGTCGCTGCTTGCAGCTTCCCAGGCCGGCTGCGAGTGCAGAGGGGTGGGAGAGCCGGTGTCTTGCCCGGTCCCTGCCCCCCCGGGGGGGGGGCTTGTGCTGGTCCCCCTGGAATGACAGGGGAGGATTGGAGGGAAGGATCCAGGCTGGGTTCAGCACTCTCTACATGAGCAGAGGCTGATCCTGGGCTTGCTGGAGGACTTGGGGAGCTGTGGAGCCTTGCTTGCTCCGCAGTGCCAGTAAAGGCCCTCGTGGCTGGGGCTGCCTGGACTTTCGTTGGGAGAGAAAGGAAGGGCCAGTGACGCTGTGGCAAAGGAGTCAAATACACTTTTAGGCTGCAGGAGCAGCAGACTCTTGCTACCAAGGCACGGGACGTCCTTGTCCAGCTTGAATTGGTCTTGGTTGGAACGTATCTGGAGCACCGCGTTCTGTTCCAGGCGCTGTAAGGCATCGATAGATTGGCTGGGGCGTGGAGAAGAAGTCCTGCAAGGGAAAGTGAAGAGCCCGGGGATGTTTAGTCGGGAGGGAGGAAGGGTGAGGGCAGGCACAGCCGCTCCCTTCAAATCCCGGCGGGGCTGTCGTCTGGAATGCGCGGGACATGCTCTCTGCCTCCAGCACAAAGCGCAGCTGGATTGAGTGTAGATTTTTGTTGACCTTTTGGAGAAACGTGTTGCCCGCTCTGTAGTCCTTTATCATGACCCTGAGACGCACTTGAGCACGGGTCCTTCTGCACCTGAACGAGCAGCGGCGCTTTGCAGGAGGGAAGGGACCGGGTAGCCGGAGGGAGCCCTCGGCTCCTCTGTGCCTTCATGTTGTCTTTACACACACAAAGAGAAAGCCAAGTGTGGCGCTCGAAGAAGAGACCCAAAACTTGCAAGAGTCACAGCAAATGTGGAGACTTCAGAGAGCGGGGGGGGGGGGCATACCCAGCCGTCCAGGGCTCCCCTTCCACCCCTCGAGGGGTTCTCGTTGTGGTCTCCCCTCCTCCTCCTCCGTGATCCTCCCGAGCTTTTGTGCAACACTTTCTGCTTTCTCAGAGGCTTGGCTGCTGACAGGGAGGGCGCTAAAACAGCCTGTGGCTCTTGCCCCCACCCCTTTCGCCTTTGGGCTTGTCCCCCAGAACCTTCCCCAAGAGGGAATTTGGCCCACGGGCCCCCTGTCTCTCTGCGCAGGAAAAGACGCGATGGTACCAAGACGGAGTGGCCGGCTGGTCCAGTAAGGAAGAAAACAGCCTGCACAATCAGAGGAGGGCGAGGGGAACGGAATGGAGCAACCCAGGAAGGTGCACAGGGGGCTGCAACTCTGGGCAATTTCTGCAGGTCCCCAGATGTCGCAGCAACAGTGGGAGCAACCCCAAGATCAGAGTCCCAAACCCAACGCCAGAGATGGCGCTCTGGCCATGGAGCAAGGAGCTGGCTCCACACCCTCCCTCCCTCCCTGCCTTCGCAGCCAGTGCAGAACGCACCGAGTAGGGTGCCCTCCGACGCTGGAAAGCAATTCAGAGAGGGCAGAAAGGGGATATTTTGCGGCCAAGGTGTGGGTAATCCTGAGGTCTCTTTCCTTTCCCCTCCCCTCCAAGACATGTCAGCCAGATAGGCAAAAAAACCCATCTAACAAATACGCAGGGAAGGGCAGAAGGGGGTCGCATCAGACAACTGTCAGTCTCTGTTTTAAGGCCTTAAAGCTGCTGCAGCAGGAGCCTGTCTTTTGGCCACTGTACAGGAGTGGAACCTCCATGCTCAGCTGAAGTCTACCTCTATAAATGCTGGGGGAGAGTTTTTGCTTTCTTGTCCCATTCGTGGCTGCTATGATGGGCTGCAGTTGCAAACAGGAAGTTGGGCCACTCGCCTCTTGAGCTGCATTTTGAAACAAGCAGCAACTTTGCCCTCTGGTGTTCTGTGCATATGTAGAACCCAGGGCTTTCTGGGCCTAGTGGTGCTCTGCTTAGAGGCCCAGAGCCTGGCCACAGCAAATCTTTCACAAGCCACGGGATATTTCTCCTGCTAAGCTTTTTACCCACCCTTTCCGTCATGTTTCCATGGTGGTGCTTGGGCTGAGATTAGTTTATCTACATTAAAACTGTAAGAATCTCGCAGGAACATTTTAAATCTGTGGAATGCACTCCCCAGAGAGGTCCGCCTGGTGCCATCGTTATTCGTTTTTCAGTGCCAGGCTAAGACCTTTTTATTCAAACAATATTTTAACAATGTTTAATATTCATAGGTTTTAATTGTGCAGCCAAGGTGTTTCCAGGTTTTAATTGTATTGTATTATATTTATTTATTTCTGTGAGCTGTCCCGAGGCTATATAGCAAGGGGACGGCATATAAAAACTTTAAATAAATAAATAAATAAAAATAGATGGCTGTCATACGTAATCCATGGGGAATTTTTACAATAAGAAAAGCGACCCATTTCCCTTGAGAAGGTAATGACTGTCAGGGATGGCAGAGAGGCGGGCTTTGCCCACCAGGGTGTTTGGGTGGCGGGCTCTTTGGAGTATTTGGTCTCCACAGGAACCTTCCAACATCCCACCCTGAGACCCTTGAGATGACTTGGACTACAAAACTCATCATTCCTGCTAGTGGCTGGCAGCTGCTAAACATACAAACAGCTGCAAATGCTGAAGTTCAATGGAACCTGAGCTTCCAGTGGAATTTTTATGACTTCTATATCAAGCCTTTTTTTTCCTTCCAGGAACTCAAAGTGGCTTGTCAAACCCCTCCTCCTGCTCCCAGTCTTATCTTCACAACAACCTTGTGAGGTAGGTTAGGCTGGCAGACAGGGGCTGACCCAGTGCTGCCCCCACTTCATGGCTGAGTGGGAACCAGAACCTAGATCTCCAGAGTCCCAGTCCAATGCTCTAACCTCTGCCTCCCTTAGCACCCATGTTCGTTTTTCAGGTAACCCACCTTGAAGCACAGATTCCTGTGGCACCTAAAAGACAAATCAATTTTATCTTGGTGTACGCACTGCAGATTGCTATGTGGCAGAGCTGGACTGGGTGAGAGCACTCAATGCAAATCAATTAATTCATGTTACTGCTGCTTTTTAAGACTCATTTTAAGGGTAAAACCTTCCATATTCAGCATATTAAATCCTGCTGAATATTAAAGTTTTTGCTACTTGTTACTAATATATTAAACATGAAAGGTTTTGGTGCTATAAGCTTTTCTACCCGAGGTTGTTAATCCACTGCATCTTTTGCTTTGGTTGTGGCCATCAGATCAAAAAGTGCACAAAGCTTTTGAGTCCTCTGGGTGACATGCTATAGTGCAACTGTGCAGGTAGGAAAATAGGTTTGCTTCAGTTTCAGAGAAAATTTTGCGCTGCTTCAGTTGTGGGTTGGGGAGTAGCCTTAAAAAGAAAAGTGGTGTTCAGAAGGAGACATGAACCTGGAGAGTCATTGTGCCATCTAAAGAACCCTGCAAGTCAGGGGTGTCCAACCTTTTGACTTCTCTGGGCCGCATTGGAAGAATTGTCTGGAGCTGCATATTAAATACACAAACACTAACGAAAACTGATGAACAAAAAATAGGTCTGGCATAATATTCATTATATCTGCCACCACAGATAAGCTAAAAAGTCCTCACATAATAATCCTAATTATGTGGCACCCCATTTGGAGAGTCTTTTAAAAACATTGAGCAGCTCCCAAGTTTGCAATCCCTATATAGAAAATGAACATATCTAAGTAATAAAATTTCACTGATTTTTTGATATTCTTTTTATAAAAGTAAAAGAAAAGAAGGCAACATAAAACTAGTGGGATATTTGACATGGTATTTAAGAAACTAATGCATCAGTATCTGGTTCGATGGAAGCAGCTGCAGTTCTCAGCGAGTTCTCAAGGTGCTTATCAGATATTCTGGTTCTAATTTTACTCTTAGCGCGCTTCATTCTTGAAAATAGTTGCTCACAAATGGAAGCTGCAGACTGCTGTAAAACTGAAGCCACGCATGCGTACAAATAGAGCATACGTATGTTTATTTTACATGGCATTGTGACATGAAGTTGTCATCTAAAAAGAGAACTACACAAGTTACAAAAAACCCTCAAAAGATCTCATCATGTTTTAAGTAAGTTTATGATGTTGTGTTGGGCCGCATTCATGGCCATCCTTGGCCGCAGGCAGCCCGCAGGCCGTGGATTGGACACCCCTGTGGTAAGCAGTGACAAGCACGCAATAATTTCCCCTTTGTAGAAAAGCTCTGCTTTGAGATGGAGTTGCGCTCTGCATGGAAGACTCCAACTGCATGCCCTGAGAGCACAACACTTGTTCTGCATCCG